AGGCCCACGGAACAGAGAGACCCTGGCGCCCGAGCCTGGGTTCCCCCCATCCTGCCCTGGACGGGGCCTGGGCCCACGGCCTGTTTCCATGAGTGACGCAGTCCCTGGGCCAGGCCTGTCTCCAGCCGAGAAGCCCTCCAGCCCTGCCCTGGCCCCAGCCCGCATTCCTGCCTTTCTGGCTAATTGGACTTGATTGGGTTCCAGAGAGTTCCGGAAGGCCCCTCAGCGATGGCAGAGCCCCCCGACGTCCTTGGGAGGATTAGCTCAGCGACCCGCTGACCCTGGGCAATTAGGAGCATTTGCCCAGACTGTGAGCTCTCCCTCCCTCGGTGGTCCCCGGAATCCGCCGAGGGCGCCCCTGGCTGCAGAGCTCGGTGGGCTTTGGCTGTGCCTGGTGTGTCCTGGGGTCTGGCTCGTTCTCAGCACAAGGGGCCCAGCCAGGGTGCCTCTCTCCTTGCCCCCTGTGGTTCGTTTTCCTCCTCTCTGTGCTGAGTTGGAAGGTTCTGGTCCACATTCGTGTGAAAGACCCATTTATAATAGATTTCCTGTCACTTCCAGTTTGTCCTAATGACTACTTTAGTGACTGTATCTCCAAACACAGTGCCATTCTGAGGTACTGGGGTTACAACGTCAACATGTGCATTTTGAGGGGACATAATTCAGCTTTTAACACCCCATTTACAGAGGAGATGATGGAGGCTCAGAGAGGGACAGTCATCATTTGCCCAAGTTTGAACAGCAGGAACGAGAAGGACAGATGTCAAACATGCACCGGGTGTTAGTCATGGCTTCAGGGCTGTCTGTCTGCTCTGCCAGTGTCCACTGTGTCAGGTACGAACTGCAATAAACAACACCAGCAACCGCCTGTGTTTCCTCCGCCGCCCTGCGCCCTGTGAGACTGACGGTGGCCCCTTCCAGGGAGGCTGAGGTTCCTGAGGCTCCCACGAGGGTAGTGACACCACCACCCCTTGCCCTCACTGTGAGATGGACGGTAGCCCCCCAGGGGTGCCATCCGAGCCTCACAGCCAGGGAGGTGTCACGAGACGGTGGTGATCATGTTGAGCAGTGGGGTCCTCGTCACCGAGGGTGGTCACGGGCTATGTCCAGGACACATCCTTGGAAACGTGGGCATGGAGCCCATGAGCCAGATTCAGTATCTAAAATCAAACTCTTAATTCCCACCGTGAGCGTGTCAGCCTTAGGGTTGCCCGTGTGTCCAGTTTCCACCTGTGGGTCTGGGGTCTCTGTTAACAGCCCCCCTTCTGTTGGTCCGCAGCAGTGCCTGGCTTAGAGGGGAGATGCTAGGGTCCCCAGAGTTGAAAGTGAAGACTATGGTACGATGAAGTGTCCCCTAATAATGTGCCACATGGCAGTGCCCCATTCAGAGGACTGAGAGCAGAACGTTAGTTCTAAGAGTCCAGGTTCTGTACAGCATCGCTCCTGCGTCTTGCGTGTAGTGCCTGCTGTGCTGACGGGCTGCCCGGTTCTGGGACATAAAGTATAGCCTTCGTTGTCGCATCGCTTCTGTGGAAGACCCTCTGCTGTTTAAAACAAACAGTGTTTTCTAGTTTTCCGGAAACCTGAAACTGCTTTTCTTCCGGTGTGGGTCACATCTAGGACAGATGTTTGCTAGGATAACACTTTGGGACCTCAACAGAGGCTTACAAACACATCATTTTGTTTTCTTTTTTTTTGAGACAGAGTCTCGCTCTGTCACCCAGGCTGGAGTGCAGTGGTGTCATCAGAGCTCACTGCAACCTCGAACTCCTGGGCTCAAGTGATCCTCCTGCCTCAGCCTCCCGAGTAGCTGGGATCACAGATGTGCACCACCACGCCAGACTAATTGTTCTATCTTTTGTAGAGATGAGGTCTCGCTCTTGCTAAGGCTGGTCTCATACTCCTGGCCTCAAGGGATCCTCCTGCCTCAGCCTTCAAGATTGCTAGGATTAAAGGCGTGAGCCACCGTGCCTGCCTCCTTTTTATCTGATGTGTTTAATGTTGTCCCCGTAGTATAATAAAAAATATGTATTTGGTCTTTTTCCATAGTTCCTGGCGCAGGGTTCCTAAAACCCTTGGCACGGACATTCACAGGGTTGAAATGAGGGTCTTCAGACCGCACTTTGGAAGGCTGGATGAACCAAAGGGACCATCAAGGGTCCTTCGATATTTTAAAGAGCCCCAGACAAGTCTGCTATATTTACTCCAGTTTGTAGAAATCTTAAAAACTGGAAGGCAGAGATTACAGTGTGTAACCACACCTGGAATCATCATGGGCAATAATCAGATTAATCCAGATAAAGAATGACAAAAGGGCCAAGGTCCCTTGGCTCAGCCCCCTGCTGTGAACTCGAAGCTTTCTGCTCACGGGTGGGAAATAAAGTCAAGGTGAGCAGAACAGTTTCCAGGATTCCTCGATGCAGGAGCCTTTGGGTAGCCCCAGTGTGGGCTTTTAGCTAGACTGACGGGATACAGAAATGTGGGGTTGGTCGTGCCGCGGTGTGCATGTGTGTCCCCCCACATTCCTGTGTTGGAGACCCCGACCCCAAAGATGACGGTATCAGGAGGTGGAGCCTTTGGGAGGTGATTAGGTCATGAGGGTGGGGCCCTGCTGAATGGAATCAGTGCCCCAAAGAGCTCCCTCATTCCTTCCACCACGTGAGGACACAGACAGAAGGTGGCCAGTCAGGAAGCAGGCCTCCCCAGACACCAAATCTGCCAGCACCTTGAACTTGGGACTCCCGGCCTCCAGAACTGTGAGAAATCAACTTCTCTTGTTATTAGTAATGAGCTCCCTAGTCTGTGGTATTTCATTCTAGCAGCCTGAACAGACTAAGACGATGGGTTTGGGGTGGAAGCTTGGATGGAAATTCCAGTTGTGTCTCCTCTCCCCTGACCTGCTATCGTAAAACCAGAACCTGCTGCAGAGGTCCTCGTGGGGGCTACAGTGGCGAATGTGAGGGTTGGTGGCATTAAGCGGAAAGTTCAGACCAAACCCGCGTGCCTGAACCACTTGAGGTAAAGAGGTGCATCTCCTTCACCCAAACGTAGGATGTGGGCGCATATTGTGTCTGACCGGGCTTCGTTTCCCTCCCTGGAGATGTCAAACAGAGGTGCAGAAATCTGCCCTCCACCACTATTAATGGGAAACGTGCAGTGAGGACCAGTAAGACCCCCGAGCCCACCCAGAGCAGGGCAGAAGCTGGAGAGCTGGCTGGAAGAATTCTCTGGGCCACAGCCCAAGCCTGTGAGCACCTCCCAGCAACAACTACCGGGACTTGGAACCGAAAACTGTCCACTTGTGTGCCAATTCCTGTCTTGCTATCAGACAGTCATCAACACCACCCTTGTGACGGGAGGACGTGAAACCATCTTGACAGTGGAACACTCGTGTCTTGCAGGTCCCGAGGCCCAGGATCTGCCGTTCATGAGAACTTGAGACAACACAGGCCTTCCCACTGTCCCCCTGCATAGAAAACGAAGGCTTCGATTGCAAGTGGGTTTATTTTAA